CCGAGGGCTGCAGGTTGGAGTGCCTCGGGTGGTCCTCTGCTCCCGGAGACGAGGGAAACCTATGGTTATGAGGGGTGGGGAGGTAATTACTGGGGAGAGGGTACCCCCTTGCTTTCAGAAAATGACAGGGGAATTGGCCAGGTGTCCTCTAATTGAGAGGTAAGAGAAATGAGGGCAGAATCTTACCCGAGGGTCTGGACCTAGGAGTCAGAGGAAGGAAGACTTGGCTAGATTAGGAGCAGGGAAACCCTGAATTCTCAAAAGGAGAGCTGCAGGGTGTCAAAGAGAACCAGGAAGTAGGGGTTTCCTCCATGTCTGGAGACTCTTCCCATCCACCCAGCCCCCTTCCTTGCCTTGGCTAGTATTATGGAACATTTTCGTAAGGGCTTGGGCCTGCTCTTAATTTCTCAGTCATATAATTTGATTTTCATCTATACTTGATCAATTCCTTTGATTAGCTACGTTCTCCCAAGCTTCTTTGGGTTAGTTTGGGCCTTATTTTGTTGGTTCCTTAGACTCTTGAGGGATGACTTAAAAAACATATCCATTGATACCTCCAAACACCTATATAGAAGACTCCAATCTCATTTGTATAAAACTTCATTTCCTTAAGTAATAAAGTTGCATCTTGGAGATTTCTTTTTTTTGTTTGTTTTCATCCGGCAGTGATGGTGCGCACCTTTATTCCCAGCACCAGGAGGCAGAGCAGGCATATTTATTTTTGTTTTTTTGGTCGTTTGTTTGTTTGTTTGTTTTCTAGACAGGGTTTCATAGCGAGTTCCAGACAAACCTGGGCTACAAGGTGAGATGCCAAGGGGGGGGGGGAAGCACGTAAACCTAGTTTGATCACACATCTATGATTCTAGCACCTGAGCATCTGAGACAGGACTGCCAAAAGTTCAAAGCCAGCCTGGGCTACATAGTTCAAACTAACATGGGATACAGTGAGCCACAGTGCCAAAAAAGATTCACAACAGCCTGGCATTGTTAGGGAGGTAGAGGCAGGTGGATTTCTTTGACTGTATAATGATACCCTATCTCAAAAAAATGAAAGCTAGGCAGTGGTGGCTCCTGCCTTTAATTCCAGCACTTGAGGCAGAGGCAGGCAAATACCTGAGTTTGAGGCCACCCTGATCTACACAGATTTCGGGACAGCCAGGACTCCCTTGTGTCAGAGCTATTTAGTGAGCCCCTACCTCAAAAAAAAAAAAAAAAAGTGTATGAGCATGTGTTAGGATGTGTGTCATGGTGTACTTGTGGGAGTCAAAAGAATGACACAGGATTTTATTCTGTCCTTCCACCATATGTACCCTGAAGATCAAACTCATGTTTTCATATTTGGTAAAAAGGGCTTTTACCTGCTGAGCGATCTCACCAGGCACCCCTCCTCCCTTTTTTGGGAAAAGGTTTCATATAGCCTAAATCTCCTTATGTAACTGAGGGTGACCTTGAATCCCTGACCCTTTTGTTCCAAAAGTGCTGGTTTACAGACTTGTGTCACTATGCCTGGCTTCATATGCACTGTGAAAATTTTGAATTTATTATTTTGTGTGCATAATGTTGGGAGGGGGTATGTGTACTGTGGTGTTTGTGTGGACGGAGGTCAAAGCATATTATAGAGTTTGGTCTCTCCTTTTACCTTTGTGTGAATGAGTCCACACATGTAACTCAGGTAACTAGGCCTGCAGGGTAGCACCTTTCAAGAGTCATTTTTTGTCTTGAAAATAACTACAAAGCAGCCGCCCAGTAGCACGTGTCTGTAATCCCAGCTCGCTCTCTGTAGGCTGAGCCAGGAGGATTGAAAATTCAAGCCCAGCCTGGACTATCTAGTGAGACACTTGTCTCAAAACAAACAAAATCCCCGAGTAATGGGGTGTGGGGTTTGTTAGGTTTTTGCTTAAATTAGAAAGAAGGTCTGGCGATGAGAAATGAGACTAACCAGTTTATTATATCACGAGAGAGTGAGTGAGAGAGAAATAAAAGGAGAAGAGACAAGATAAGCAAAGAGAAGAGAGAGAAGTGCATAAGTGGGCGGGGTCTGCCTTTTAAAGGGGTCCTCTACACCTGTGTGCAGACCTAGTTCCCATGGAACCCTGGGCTGACCAGGGTTCTGCCTGAGTGGATTCTGCCAGGTAACTGGCAGGCCAGCGTAATGCCTGAATCTTTCAGGGTTCTTGCATACAGTCTTGAGCTTGGGAGGCAGAAGCTGGAGGATCACTAGTTCAAGGTGCTACATACTGAGTTTGAGGGCAGCCTTGACTGCATGGAACCCTGTCTCAAAAACCCCAAACCCAAACCAAAGCATGGGTAACAAAACTACAGAGAAACTCTTTGCAGCAGGTTAAACCCACGTTCATGACAAACCTCTGCCCTGAGCTGTACTCCCCTTGCAATACGTCCTTCTACATAAATTGACTAAGTTTTAACAAAAATTTGTCATGTTTTTGTATGGTCTCGTAGAATTACAGAGCACACACTCTGATTTCACAAGAGATATTGCAAGGTCTCTTGTGTGAAACACTCCTGGGACAAAGCTCCTCATCGTGTCTCAGGAGTTTGTGTTATAAACAAGGGGCAGTTTTCTGTTTACACAGCTTATAGAGATGACCTTGCAGTTATAGCCATGTAGTCTGCTGTGGGTTTGGGGTTACTCACTAGAAATGTGATCTCTAAGGTAATTTACTAAAAATTCATTTACTGAAGAATTATGAATCACCATGTTGGCATGGACTCTCTTCTGTGTCACTAAAAGCATGTATTTTTTAAGGTTTTACTTTTAGTTGGGCACGGTGGTACATGTGTTTAATCCCAGCACTAGGAAGGCAGAGGCAGGTGGATCTCTATGAGTTTGAAGCCAGCCTGGTCTACATAGTGAGCTCCAGGACAGCCAGGACTACACAGAGAAACCTTGGGGCGGGGGAGGGGGATCATTTACTTTCGTTTATACCAACCTGAGTTTCAGGCCAAACTATATAGTAAGACTCAGTCTCAAAAAACCAAGACAAAACAAAAAGGTTTGTTTTCCTTCTTTATGCGTATAAGTGTTTTGCCTACATGTGTGCATGTGCATCATGAGTGTGCCTAGGAACATCCGGATTGCATCAGACTCCCTGGAACTGGAGTTAAGGTGGTTGTGAGCCTCCATGTGGGTGCTGGGAAGCCAACCTGGGTCCTCTACAAGATCAACAAGGGCTCTTTACCTCATGATACATCTCTCCAGCCCTACTTCAAAATTTCAAGAAGCTACTATTTCAGCATGTAATAAACTCAGGATTTCTTTCTAAATTGTATTGCAAAGCTGGGCACAGTGACACACATTTGTTTTTTGTTGCTTTTTTGTTTTTAATTTTTCGAGATGGTTTTTTTGTGTAACCCTGGCTGTCCTGGAATTCACTCTGTAGACCAGGCTGGCCTCCAACTCACAAAGATGGGCCTGCTACCACCACCTGGCTAGCAATACCAGCATCTGAGAAGTGAAGGGAGGCAAGAGGATCAGGAGTTCAAGATCACCCTTGGTGACATAGTGATTTTCAAGGCCACCCCAAGTCACCTGAAAATTAGTAACCTATAATTCCAACACTCTGGAGGTTGTGGCAGGAGGATCCCTTTGGAGTTAGGGATCAGCCTGGTCAACAAAGCAGAAGCATACCTGTGGGAACAAAACAGCCTGCACTTGTAGCTAAGCAGAAGAGCCTTCACCTCAGTCCTCAACAGCACCCCTCCATGAAAGAAATGAGCATAAGCTCAAACCTAGTAATGTCACTGGAAGACCTTCCAAGGAAGTGATGCTTCAGAGAGTTAACAGACTAGCGCAAAGGAAGGGAAAGAATCCTAGGGAAAGAGAACAAATTAAAGGCTCTGTCCAAGAAATGTTGCACGTTTCAGAACTGGAGAACAGTTGACAGAGCTCACAGTGCCAGCTGTGAGAAGGGAAGCTGATTTGGAAGCTTTTGTAGGCCATGTTAAAGTTCTTGAACTTTATTTCACAGCAACAGGTATACATTAAGTGGGAAACAGGCCTGTGGCCTTTAGTAGGATAACTTTGATTGCTTTGTGGGGAATGAATTGGAGGAATCCAAGACCAAAGGTTTGGCAATGGGAAAGTAGCTGGAAAAACCCAGGTAACAGTGTGGCAGCCCACATACAGTGTTGACAGCACAGATGGAGAACGGGAGGATCATACTCTCTCTCACACACACACACACGCACGCACGCACGCACGCACGCACGCACGGTAGACTGGCTAGGATTTTGTGGCTGATTGGATTTAGAAAGAGGAGGCAAAAATAACTCCTGAGTTCCCTGGTTTTGAAAATGGACGGAGGATAGCATCAATTAGGGAAACAGGAAATCTAGGAGCAGGTTTGATAAAATATGGTTCAGTTTAATGTAGTAGAGGCCAGTAAATACAAGAATATAGAATCCACAAAAAAATTGAATGGGATTAAAAGCCACATATGATACCGGGCATTGGTGGCGCAAACCTTCAATCCCAGCACTCGGGAGGCAGAGGCAGGGGGGTATCTCTGAGTTCAAGACCAGCCTGGTCTACAGAGCAAGTGCCAGGACAACCTCCAAAGCCACAGAGAAACCCTGTCTCGAAAAACCAAAAAATAAGATAAAAGCCACATATGAAGAAATTTGACTAGATCATATATACATGCATAAGTGATTGAATCAAAATGTCTATCAGCATCAAAGCTGAGGAGCGTGGGGGAGGCACAAAGATGTTTAGATAAACAGTGTCTAAGCACTGAGACCAATGGCATACACCTGGTAGTTAGATACAGAAATCTGAGGCTAGCCTGAGCTCCATCACAAGACTTTGTCTTAAGAAACCAAGAACAGAGCTGGAGAGATGGCTCAGAGGTTAAGAGCACTGACTGCTCTTCCAGAGATCCTGAGTTCAATTTCCCACAACCATACGGTGGCTCACAACCAACTATAGTGAGGTCTGGCGCCCTCTTCTGGTGTGCAAGCATGCATGCAGATAATTGTATACATAATAAATAAAATCTTAAAAAAGAAAAAAAAAGAAACCAAGAACAAGCCGAGTGTTGTGATGCACACGCCTTTAATCCCAGCACTTGGGAGTCAGAGGCAGGAGGATCTCTTAAGTTCTGTTTTACAGATTGATTACAGGACAGCCAGAGCTATACAGAGAAACCCTGTTTCAAAAAACCAAGAAAGGAAGGAAGGAACCAAGAGCTATGGATTATAGTTGAGTTGTGAAACGTTCATGAGTGCATGGCCCAGAAGAAGCAGAACAAAGGATTGCAGACATAGTTCAGGGGAAGCTCAAGTGTTAAAGTGCTTACCCACCGTGCATGAGGCTGTGAGTTGGGTCTCTAGCACTGGAAAAATCATTTTCCCTGAACTCTAAAGGCTAACAGCTACAGGATATCCTGAGACCCTCTGTTTTCATAAAGATTGGGCCAATGGGGACAGCCAGATATCGAAATAGGTAAAAGTGCTTATCACGAAAGCCTGATGACCTCATTTTGTTACCGGAATTCCATGGTGGAAGGAGAGAACTGACTCCTGAAAGCTGTCCTCTGACCTCTACATGGGTTCCTTGGCATGTACACAAACAATAATAAAAAGATTGGGTTAGTACTTTACATTGACGGAGCACATGGTACTTGGTGATGATTTCCTCAGTAGCTCTCTCTGCAAGGAGCTGTCAGACAGGGTCATCTCCATTCACTCTGAACTGAGGTGTTCTTGTGACCCATCTGGAGGTGCATACCTTGGTCCCAGCACTCCCATTGGAAGCAGGAAGAACAGGAGTTCAAGGTCATTCTCAGCTCCATAGCAAGTTCCAAGTCAGCCATTTGAGACTCCATCTCTAAAAATAAAACAGGAACATAAAGTTCTTAGAGCCAGGCTTGGTGACTCACGCTGAATTCCAGCACACTGAAGCTGAGGCAGAAGGATTGCTTTGAGTTTGAGAGTAGGCTGGGCTTTAGAATGAGACCCAGTCTCAAAAAGAAAAGTTCTTGGCTCTTGGTGGTGGTCCATGCCTTTAATCCCAACAGCAGGATCTGTGAGTTTGAGGCCAGCCTGGTCTTTTGAGCAAGTTCCAGGGCAGCCTCCAAAGCTACAGAGAAACCCTATCTCGAAAAACAAAACAAACAAAGAAAACCAAAAAACAACAAAACCTTAAATTCTAGTGTTGTTAATTTCAGTGCTGTGTGTAATCCCAGTGCTGTGATCCCAAACTACCACTTTGATGTCTCTAAACTTAAGGAGGAGAGGAGATGCACTATTAGGTCTAAGGAGCTAGTAGCTTTGGCTCTGGCAAACCACTGTGTGAGTCACATGTACTATGAAAACATACTAAAAGCCTGTGTCAGCCTCTGTCAGCTCCCTCTCAGTCCTCATTCTTCACAGAGGGTGGTGATCCCAGGGTGCTCAGAACTGTGTGTTATCTTGGCATTCCTTTCCTGCAGTTGCATCTTTCAAGATTTCTTGTTTCTCACAGCAGCCCCAGCTAGCTGACTTCATGTGAAAGATGGCTAATGCGGAAGTGAGTGTCCCAGTGGGAGATGTGGTTGTGGTACCCACTGAAGGAAATGAAGGGGAGAATCCTGAAGACACTAAAACCCAAGTGATCTTGCAGTTACAGCCTGTGCAACAAGGGTAAGTGGCTAGAGAGTTGGATTTTTCTGAAAATGTGTTATTGGGAGATTAATAAGATAGGCAAATATGAACTGTACAGGAGTTGAGTACACCATGAGCATTCAGGGTTAGTCAGAGCTGACTGAGTTTTCATCTCAGTCATAGGTACTCCCACTGTCATCTTTTTTTTTTTTTTTTTTATGTAGCTCAGGCTTGCCTCAAACTTACTATGCTGCAAGGGTAGCCTTGAACACCTGATCTTCCTGCCTTTTCTTCCCAGTTACCAGGATTACAGATGTACACAACCACGTCAAGCTGTCATTCACTACTTACTACAGCGGCTGTTTCTAGTGTCCCTCTCTGTCTTTACATGAGAGCTCTCTGAGGGCAAGTTATATGGCTCCCTCATCTTCTCTGTCTACACTGTTTAGCAGGGGCCCAGGTGCATGTTTCTCAAATGCAGTGTTTACTCAGAGATTACGCATAGGGACCAGTAAGAATATTTCTACCCTGAGCTCTAAATTCTCCTGGATTAGCAAATTGTCACGCTCTGTGTATTACAAGTATCTATCCACCACCACCACATTGATGCATTATGACGGTGTTAAAAGAAATAGAGTAAAAGGTCCTCTCCAGCATGAACCTTGCAATCTAGTGTAAAACAAAAGGGCTTTTGTATAAGTATGGAATCCTTACATAGCGAAGACTAGGAAGGGCTGAGTGCCGTGGGAGGTCAGAGGGTCACTATCAATTAGAAAGGAAGTTGACTGAAATACTTTTGCAATGTCCAGAATCAAACCGGACACCTCTCTCACATTGCACAGATCATCTGCCCTTGGGAGGCAGAGGCAGGCAGATCTCTGTGAGTTCGAGGCCAGCTTGGTCTACAAGATCTAGTTCCAGGACAGGTTCCAAAGCCACAGAGAAACCCTGTCTAGAAAAACCAAAAGGAAAAAAAAAAGAAAAGAAAGAATATGTATTCAGCATGTAATTTCTTTGAGAGACAGAGAGAGAGAGAGAAAGAGAGAGAGAGAGAGAATGAATGAATGTACTGGGGATAAGTGGGACATGGTGGTGCATGCTTGTAAATCCAGTACTTGAGCATAGCAGGATAATCAGAGGCTTAAGGCTATGCTAGGTGCAAAGCAAGTTTGAGGACAGCCTGGACTACAGGAAACCCAATCTCATAACAAACAAAAATCCAGTGACAAGACCTAGTAACCATAAAAATGTTCTGGAACTGTCACCAGTGGTCCAGTAATTCCTTAGTATGCAGAAGGTCCTGAGTTACATCTCCACCATCTCAAATAACATAAAGCCATTTAAACGATTATCAATGTTTCAAACACATCTCTTTTATGACATATTGAAAGCTCTCAGAAGAAACAAAGGTACCAAGATTCTGTAACCCTTCTTGACTCTTCGGGACATTTTAGATTTCATAATGAATGATTTTTGTTTTCATTAGTTGATGTTATTCTGTTTTTAAAGTGTGTGGATGTTTGGGCTGCGTGTCTTTTGAGCACCATGTGCACACAAGTGTCCACAGAGGCCAGAAGATGGCCTGGAGTTAGAGATGGTTGGTAACCTATATTTAGGTGCTGGTGAGTGAACCTGGGATCTCAGGTGGGCATGCTGATAAACACTTTTTTGGTTTTTGTTTCAGTTTCTGTTTTGTTTTATGAGGCAGGGTTTCTCTGTGTTGCCCTGGCTGTCCTGGAGCTCCCTCTGTAGACCAGGCTCTGACTCATGCGTGTGGGAATTAAAGGCTCAGGACCTACCACCCGGGTGTGATGCACACCTTTAATCCCAGTTTTTAAAATTAGCATTACTTTATTTGATTTGTGCGTATGTTTTTGTTTTTTCTCTTTCCATACAGGGTTTCTCTGTGGCTTTGGAGTCTGTCCTGGAACTTGCCCTTGTAGACCAGGCTGGTCTTGAACTCACAGAGATCCACTGCCCAGCTGCATATGTTTGTTTTTTTGGTTTTTTTTTTTTTTTTTTTTTTGGTTTTCCAAGATAGGGTTTCTCTGTGTAACTTTGAAGCCTGTCCTGGAACTCACTCTGTAGACCTGGCTGGCCTCAAACTCACAGAGATCCACCTGCCTTTGCCTCCTGAGTGCTGGGATTAAAGGTGTGTGCCACCAACGCCTGACTCGTTGATACAGTTTTTTTTTTTTTTTTTAAGATTATTTATTTATTTATTTATTCTGTATACAACATTCTGCTTCAATGTATATCTGCACACCAGAAGAGGGCACCATATCTCATTAGGGATGGTTGTGAGCCACCATGTAGTTGCTGGGGATTGAACTCAGGACCTCTGGAAGAGCAGCCAGTGCTCTTAACCTCTGAGCCATCTCTCCAGCCCAGGATCACTTTGAATTCTAAGCCATGCCTAAACAACTTATTATGACCTTGTCTCAAAATAAAAAGTAAAGAATGATCTGGGTAATGGTGTTGCACACCTTTAAACCCTGTACTCTGGTGGCCAAGGCAGGGGGACTCTCTGAGTTTGAGCCAGCCTGGTCTATAGAGCAAGTTTCAGGACAGCCAGGGTTATACTGAGAAACCTTGTCTTGGGGGGGGGGGGTTAAGTAATAAAATGAAATGCAGCTTAGGGAGCTGGGCGTTGGTGGCGCACGCCTTTAATTCCAGCATTCAGGAGGCAGAGGCAGAAGGATCTCTGTGAGTTTGAGACCAGCTTGGTCTACAAGAGCTAGTTCTAGGATAGGCTCTAAAGCCACAGAGAAACCCTGTCTGGAAAAAACAAAATATTAAATTTTCCCTGATTTATGTAGTTTGTTTATGATGGATTCTTTTACAACAGGATTTATGATCCTGGGTCGGAGAACAATGCAGCAGTTGTAGCCGTAGAAACCCACACGATACACAAAATTGAAGAAGGAATCGGTGAGTCTTTCTGTCATTCTATCCAGCACCTTTGGTTCAGGCTCTTGGTTGAGGGTTTCTGTTTGCTTTTGCTTTTAAATCTCTGGGGATGGCACCATGCAGCTGAGAAGTAATCAGCAGAGAAAGAAGTACATCTCTCAAGGTTCCAGGGTATGGGAAACACATCCAGTCATCTAACCTGAGGAGGTGGTAGAGAGAATACCCAGGGAGCAAATGACGTGGGTGAAGTAGAAGGTGTGAGTGGTGTGCTGAGATCCTTCATCCCCAAATGAATTTGTTTCCTTCCACCTACTGTGGGCATTTGCTGACGAGCCAACTCTTTTCTGGGTCTGTAGTGTGAGGGATATGATACCCAGTGTGTCTGGCCTGGGCCCCATTTCTGTACTTTTAAATTCCTACGCTCTGATGTGTAATTTTCCATTTTTATAGATTGCCACTTTCTCCATAGCAAGAGCTTCTGTCTGTTGACTAGAAACAAAGAAGTTTCATGAAAACAAAAATGATGAATAAGCCGGGCTTTGGTGGTGCAGACCTTTAATCCCAGCACTTGGGAGGAAGAGGCAGGCGGATCTCTGTGAGTTTGATGCCAGCCTGGTCTCCAGAGCGAGCGCCAGTTTAGGCTCCAAAGCTACACAGCGAAACCCTGTCTCAAAAAAAAAAAAAAAAAAAAAAAAAAAAAGATGAATAAAGTCAAAGCCCAGAATTAAAAAAAAAAAAAAAATCTCTGTGGATGGGACCTGTGATCTGTGATCTTGCCCAGGCCAGGCTGGTGCTCCACTACAGAGCCAGGCCCTCATTCTATGATTTCTGGCCCATTGTGCCTTATTTTCTGTCCCCACCAATGCAAGTAACCTACTGATATTGTCAGTTAAGATGGCAGGCTTGCCAGGCATGTGACTCCGGCCTTAAATCCTAGCATGCAGGTGGCAGAGGCAGACAGATTTTTGAGTTCCGGGTTCCTAGACAGCCAGAACTACATAGAAAAACTGTCTCAAAATAAAAAAAAATAATAACCAACCAACAAAAAAGATGGTAGCCCTGCCACTTGATCACTTAATATCAATAGGTTACAGTAGCCAAAAACAGGTTTTTTTTTTTTTTTGTTTATAAAAATCCTCGGGCTGGAGAGATGGCTCAGAGGTTAAGAGCACTGGCTGCTCTTCCAGAGGTCCTGAGTTCAATTCCCAGCAACTGCATGGTGGCTCACAACCATCCATTATGAGATCTGATGCCCTCTTCTGGTGTGCAGATATACATGGAAGCAGAATGTTGTATACATAATAAATAAATAAAATATTTTAAAAAATCCTACAAGGAGGGGTGGGATCAAATGCTTAGTCTGAGTGGATGTGGGGGAATCCTTAAGCGTCGTCGTGTCTGTGTGTGGGGAGGGATTAAAAACAAAGTCAAAAAACCCATGGGGCCTGTGATGTGAAGATGTAAATCTAGCTACTTGGGAAGCTGAGGCAAAGGAATCACAGGTTTAGGGCTTATCTTCACTCCAGAGCAAGTTCAAGGAGATTAGGGGCATAAATTCCATAGAAAAATGCTCACTTAGCATATGCAAAGATTTAGAGTCAATCCTTAGTCACTTAGCCTCCCCACCTCCATTCCCCCAGCACACTGGGCATGGTGAGGCATACCTATAATCCCAACAGTTGGGAGGCTGAGACAGGAAGATTATGCTCGAGGTTGGGCTATATAGAAAGACCCTGTCTTAAAAAAATAGTCCCACAAAGAAAGGGGAACGTTATGATTGATCCCTGTCATTAGGGGAGTGAAGTGAAGTGAAGACTGAAGAGGTATTGTATTAGCAGGGCGTTGGTGGTGCACGCCTTTAATCCCAGCACTCAGGAGGCAGAGGCAGGCGGATCTCTGTGAGTTCCAGGCCAACTCCAAAGCTACAGAGAAATCCTGTCTCGAAAAACCAAAGAGAGAGAGAGAATATGTCACTAGTGTCTTAGCACATTGATAGCTTGGTAAGACATAGCTGCTATGTTAAACTTCAGAAGTATTCCTGGGACTGGAGGGATTACTAAGTGGTTAAGAGCACTTGCTTCGAGGACCTGGCTTAGATTCCCAGCACTCAACAGGGCAGCTCACAGCCATCATAATTCCAGTTCCAGGGGACCCACTGTTCTTTTCTGGTCTCTGCATCAGAGACCATACACATAAAATAACAATTTTTAAAAGTTTTTGTTTTTTTTAAAGAGTGCCTGTTAATGGTGGGGATATAGCTCAGTTGGTAGAGTGCAGAATCACCTACTGTATACTGAGTTCAAGACCAGCCTGAGCTACATGAGACCCTATCTAAAAAAAACCAAAAAAAAAAAAAAAAAAAAAATGGCCTGAGAGGAACCCCAAAAGTGTATATTTGGAATTTCAGTTTAGGGAAGAATTGATCAGGAAATATTGGATTGCTTTTTCCATTTTCAGATACAAGCAGTATAGAAGCAAATGAGGATATGGAAATTGCTTACCCTATAACCTGTGGAGAGAGTAAAGCCATTCTCCTCTGGAAGAAGTTTGTGTGTCCAGGAATAAATGTGAAATGTGTCAAGGTAATTGTCTCCAGTCTTGAGGTTGTTTCACTGTCTTTTCTCTCTCTCCCTCTCCCTCTCCCTCTCCCTCTCCCTCTCTCTCTCTCTCTCTCTCTCTCTCTCTCTCTCTGTCTCTCTCTTTCCAGATCAGCCTCTGCAGGGAAATGTAGGGCTCTGACCAAGTAAGTGTCTGGAGTTTGCTAGGCAAGTACTTTGCTTCTGAGCTGTGCTTTTAGCTCCAGTCAACAGCTTTCTGTTTTGCAGCTGTTTTTAACTTTAATTTTTTTTTTACATTTATTTATTTATTTTGCGCGGCACCCATGTACAGGGCAGAGGAAGGCTGCAGCAGTCTGCTGTCTCCTTCCACCATGTGGATTCATCTGAGGATTGAACTATGCTTGTCAGGCTTGGCAGCTGCTGCTCCAGTGGTGTGACTTGGGTCCTGGAACCCTAGCTAGGGGCATCAAGGGGATGAAGGACAATCACATGTACAGGAAAACTGGAGTCAGGTGGGGCCCTCTAAGCACTACCTGGAACCTCAGTGAGTTACGTTTTAGGTACAGCATAGAGACAGGTTAGGTAATCTTGGTAGTAGGTGTCTGAGTTGTAAACATCTGGGAGGAGGAAGCTGCAATTTCTAGTCTGTGCTCACACTGATCAGTTAGTTATTCATAAGCACTTGTACTTGGATTTGTGAGCCTGGGCAGTATGAGTAAAGGTTTTGCCAAATGCCCCATGGCCTGAGGCTTTGGTCTTTCTCCGCATGGCTGTACCCATGTCAAAATACATATCCCCAGCCAGGCATAGTGGTGCATACCTTTAATTCCAAGGCTTGACAGGCAGAGACAAGGCCAGCCTGGTCTAGTTCCAGAACGGCCAGGGCTACATAGTGAGACCCTGTCTTGAAACAACAAAAGTAGACATTCCCTTAGGACTTCACTCACTCAGGGCTTGCCACTTCCAATAGGCAGCAGATACCTTTATCTACTGAGCCATTTTGCTGTCCCCACAGCTGTTGTCTTATGCTGTCACAGTAGAAAGTAAGGATTTTGAAATAAAATGAGCCTGGCTCTACTTCCACAGGAGCATGTGCAAGAGAGCATTGTCTGTTTTCACCAAGATAAACCTAGGACATTATATGATGCCTTGGTGGTGGGGGCAGGGCCTTGTGCATGACAAGGGCTGTCCCTGTATGGTACTGTTTGTATAATAGTGTTTGATAGTTACTTGCAACAAGTAAATGAATAAATGGCTAGAACCCTTCTCTACCTCTGTCTAGCCATGTGATTTTGAGCAAGTTATTTAGTAATATTTCAGAGCCTTGCTGGCCATTGTGGTATATACCATTAACCTCAGCCCTTTAATCCTAGCAAAGACAGGCAGATCTCTAAATTTGAGGCCCACCTGGTCTATGAAGTAAGTTCCAGGACAGCTGGGGCTACACAAAGAAACCCTGTCTCAGAAAAAAAAAAAAAAAAAATTGGAGCCTTATGTATTAAAATAGTAACATTCCCACTGATACGCATACATGTAAATGTACACACACATTTATACAGCACATGTACTATGATGTATTGAATGAGATCATATATGTAACATGCGTTGAACTGGTATGCATCATAATAGGCTTTATTCAGAATTGTTGATGATAAGAATAAGTAGGGTGTAGTAGGTCATGCCTGTAATCCCAGAATGGAGGCAATAGGATTGATTTAAGTTTGAGGCCAAGAGGTGATACAGTGTGAGACCCTGTCTCATAATACCCAAAAGGTATGGTGATTTATGCCTTTAATGACAGAACTTGAAAGCAGAGGCAGGTGAATCTCTGTGAATTCAGGGCCAATCTGGTCTACACACAAGGAGTCTTAGATCAGCCAGGGCTATGTGGTGAAACCCTGCCCCCCAAAAAACAAACAAACAAACACAAGCAAATAAGAAATCTCATGAGAACCAGGCATAGTGGTACACACCTTTAATACTAGAACTTGGGAGGCAGAGGCAAGCAGAGTGAGTTCAAGGCCGGCCTGGTCAGAGCTACACAGTGAGACCCTGTCTCAAGTTTAAAAAAAAAAAAAAAAAAAAAAAAAAAAAAAAGAATCTCCTCGATGGGTGGTCCTGGTGCACACTTTAGTCCCAGCACTCAGGAGGCAGAGACAGCTGGATCTCTGTGAGTTTGAGGCCGGCCTGATCTATAGAGTTAGTTCTAGGACAGTCTCCAAAGCTACACGGAGAAACCCTGTCTTGAAAAGAAAAAAAAAAAAAAAGAGTGCTGGAACTACAGATGCAGTTCACAGATTGTCCTTTTTTAGGTGATTTCTGGGATTGAAGTCAGTCTGTAGTCTTGCACAATTAGCACTTTTAAAGTTGAGTTATCTCCATGCGCATCCGTCTTTAACACTAGAATTCTTCAGTTACTTGACCAGTCCCTGGAACACTAGACCCAGCCCCCACTTCAGAATATAATGGATCAGAGTATAAATGGATGTGTAGATGCTATGTAGCATGTTTATCTCTCACCCTCGTCCTCTATAACTCTGTCCTAGGAAAGGACAGGCACTCAGAGAGGGATAATGTTTGGTACCATAGGACGGGGTTGGGTGACACTGATAGGGCTTGTAATAGTGTCTGGGGTTTTGTGTATAGCAAGTGGCATTATTTCATTCTTCCCTTGCTGACCTACCTAAGTTGACACTGGACCAATTTGGATTTTTCTTTTTTGCTTTAGTTCAATGATCAATTGATCAGCCCCAAGCATTTTGTTCATCTGGCTGGCAAGTCCACTCTGAAGGACTGGAAGAGAGCCATTCGTCTAGGTGGCATCATGCTCAGGTAAGTGCCAGTGACAATCACAAGCATCTCAGTGAAGCGCTTAGTCAGGGTAGAATCTCCCACACTATTTGACCTTCATTGACCTGTCCTTAATCTTTTTTTTTTTTTTTTTTGCTTTGTGATACTAGGGATGGAATCCAGGGCTTTGTGCGTGCTACGTAAGCAGTCTACCACTGAATTATACACTGTAACCTCTAACTATTAAATCAACTAATTAACTCTCTCCAGCATCTAATTTAGATTTTTCATTTTTCTTTTTAGTTTTGTGAGTCTCTTTTAGTTCCATTTAGCCCACAACTTGCTGTGTAGCCAAGGCTGACACCAGCATGCCTGGCTTAGGGTGCTGATGTCAGGAGTTTAAACAGGATCCTTTCTTGGCTTAGAAGCTCCAAGTTGCTGATAGTCCTCCCTGTCATCCTTACATCAAGAAAGCAAAGCTGGGTGCTGAGTAAGTGCAATAGCCATGACTGACAGTAGAAGACCACTGCTGAGAAATGCCAGGCATAGTGTTTGCAGTCTTTGCATCACTGTCTAACAGAAACAGATGTCAGCCTATGGGATAGCCCCTACCACGACATTTATTTTCCTCCAACAAGTTTACCATTGTGGTTTTCCCTCTTGAATGCATTAGTTAGTATGCCTTGAATGTTCCCTTGCTGAAAATTTAAATGTAAAGCATGGGGCTGGAGAGATGACTCAGCTGTTAGGAGTGCTGGCTGTCCTACCAGAGATTCTGGGTTCAGTTTCCAGCACCCACATGGTGGCTCTCAATGCTCTGTAATTCTAGTTCCAGGGGAATCCAACACCCTCTTGTAGCCTTCACAGAAATCAGATGTGTACATAGTACACAGACATGCATGTAGGCAAAGCATTTATTTATTTTTTATATTATGTGCATTGGTGTTTTGTCATGGCTGCCAGGTTTCCTGGAACTGGAGTCACAGACAGTTGTGAGCTACCATGTGGGTGCTGGGAATTGAACCCAGGTCCTCTGGAAGATCAGTCAGTCTTAATAGCTGAGCCATCTTTCCAGCCCCCTAAAAAACAAAAATTTTAAGGTCAAGAATTAGAAGTGTCCAACCAGGTGTGGTGGCACCTTTAATCCCAGCACATAGGAGGCAGAGGCAGGAGGATCTATGTTTAAGGTAAAGCTGGACTACATGACCAGTCTACTCTACATAAAGAAATCCTGTGTGGAAAATAACACAGACAAGTGGCTGCTTCCATTGGGCAGGATTTCTCAGTGGTGGAGACACATTCTCAGCAGATCCCAGATCCTGGGCTCCATTATAGTTGAATGACTTGAGAGGAATGCCTGCCTGTCTTTACCTTTCTGTTTTGTTCTTGATTTTTTTTTTTCTCTTGAGACAGGGTTTCTCTGTGGCTTTGGAGGCTGTCCTGGAACTAGCTCTTGTAGACCAGGCTCGTCTCGCACTCACAGAGATCCACCTGCCTCTGCCTCCTGAGTGCTAGGATTAAAGGTGTGTGCCACCAATGCCCATCTAATAAATAAAATCTTTAAAAAAAAAAAAAAAAAAAGGAAGGAAGAAGAGGAGTATAGTACAGAGACCTAGTGGACATTCTTGACTTGTTTTATCTGCCCAGTAAGAAGAGCATGGGCCAGTTCTCCACAAATGTTAAAAGGACTCAGAATGCCTAGAGATCTGTTAGTGAAAGCCAAGACATGATGACATGGAGTGTACTATAATTAAAATGCTTCCTGGTTTTGCTTATGGTCTATAATAGCAGGGTCTCATGGATCTTGTTACAAGGATATTTTCTAGAAGGGGTTTAATGCCATCAACATTGTACAGTATTTCTAGAATACTTCTTAATTTTGTAAACTTTACCTACTTTTTCTGTTTTTACTTTTTAGTGGATTACTTTTTTGCTGTTAGATTGAACTGACTGCCTCACACATGCTAGTCAGACTCTACTGCTGTGCCATAGCGTCTAGCAGCTCAAATCCAGCCCCTTACTTTCCCCCCTTGCTCTTTCCCTTTTTCCTTTCCTCCCCACTTTTCATTCCTCTCTCTGCCTCTCTGTCTTCTGAAATGTTATGTCTCTGAAAGTGACAATATAAACTAGGCATTTCTAAAACTGATGCTAGCCAGGTGTGGTGGGTCATGCCAGTCTCTTATCTCAGTTCTTAAGAGATGGGGAAACGGGGGAATCAGTGGTTCAGGACCATTCTCTGTAACATTTGGAGCCAGTCTGGCCAACCACTTGTGTCTTCCTGGTCTAGGAATACTAATTCATTAGAATCTCTTACAAAATCCTAATTCTGAATCTGAGTGTTATTTCTTAGTTGTGCCGGGATAAAAGTGAGCATTCTCATCTTGTGAGTCTTTTAAAATTGGTTTATTTATTTATTTTATCATTTACTTTTTTTTTTTTTTTTCAAGATAGGATTTCTCTGTAGCACTGGCTGTCATGAAACTTGCTCTGTAGACCAGGCTGGTCTCAAACTCATAGAGATCCACCTGCCTCTGCCACCCAATTGCTGGGACTAACGGCATGTGCCACCACTGCCCAGCTTATGGTTGTTTTATTTTTGTTTGTTTTTGAGACAGGGTTTCACTATGTCGCCCAGGATAGCCTTGAACTTGCTGTGTAGACCAGGTTGACCTTGAACTAACCAGGACTATACCTCCCCAGTATGGAGACTTCTTGCTTTGGTTTTTAATGACATTCCTGACTTTTTTGTTTTTGTTTTTCGAGACAGGGTTTCTCTGTGTAGCTTTGGAGCCTGTCCTGGCTCTCACAGAGATGCACCTGCCTCTGTCTCTGCCACCACTGCCCAGCATTCCTGACATTTTTAATGTGTCTAAAGCCTGGTGAAGAGTACTGATGTTGAGGAAACTCAGAAGAGAAATAGTGGCCAGTGTGGGCAGGACCAAAGAACATGTCCTAATTCCAGTTAGGATTCATACAGTGCAGCCGGGCGGTGGCGGCGCTCGCCTTTAGTCCCGGCACTCGGGAGGCAGAGGCAGAGGCAGGCGGATCTCTGAGTTCGAGGCCAGCCTGGTCTACAGAGAGTGTTCTAGGACAGCCTCCAAAGCCACAGAAAAACCCTGTCTTGATAAACCTCCCCCCCAAAAAAAGAATTTACACAATTTGATGGCTTCAGATATTATTAGGATCCTGTAATCATCCTCATGGACTCAGCAGATTATCCCCATCTTCCCCTTAGTTCTCACAGGTGCAATGTGGGCTGAACTGCTTCTTGTCTTTCCGTACAGGAAAATGATGGACTCTGGACAGATTGATTTTTACCAGCATGACAAAGTTTGCTCCAATACCTGCAGGAGCACCAAGTTTGACCTTCTGATCAGCAGTGCAAGAGCTCCAGTGCCAGGCCAGCAGACAAGTGTGGTGCAGACCCCCACCTCGGCCGATGGTAGGGGGTAGGAAACCACCTGGAAAGCCACTGTGTGCACTAGTGCTTCCCTCCTCGCTCATCATTTGTGGTTTTGTTGTTTGATTTTGCTTTTGAGATCCTATCTTATCGTGTAGCCCAGGCTAGACTTGAATTTACTGTGATTTCGTGCTTCTGCCTTGAAAGTGCTAGGATCACAGATATAAGTCACCATGCTTGGTGTCCCTGGTATGTCTCCATTTCCAATTCTTGTGAGCATTGATGTGCTTTTGTGCTGTGTCGTAAGGTATTACAGCAATCTTGGCTGGAGTCTAAGCCCTGGAAACAGATTTCTTGTTTCTTAAAATGACTTGTTTTTGATTGCTTTGAGACTAGGTTTCTATAGCCCAGACTGACTTTCTTTCATTTTTTTTTTTTTTTGGTTTTTCGAGACAGGGTTTCTCTGTGGCTTTGGAGACTGTCCTGGAACTAGCTCTTGTAGACCAGGCTGGTCTTGAACTCACAGAGATCTGCCTGCCTCTGCCTCCCAAGTGCTGGGACTAAAGGCGTGCACCATCACCACCCAGCTTTCTTTTCTTTTTTTGTTATCATCGTCATTATCAGTACTGCCTGTGCATGCTAAGCAGGTGTTCTCTCTAATTTATATTTCCAACTTCCTTCCTTCCTTCCTTCCATCCTTCCTTCCTTCCTTCCTTCCTTTTTGTTTGGTTTTGGTTTTTTTTTTTTTTGAGTAGGGTTTCTCCATGTAACAGTATTGGCTGTCATGGAACTCTCTATAGACCAGGCTGGCCTCAAACTCACAGAGATCCGCCTACCTCTGCCTCCCGAGTGCTGGGACTAAAGGCGTGAGCCACCACCACTCAGCTCCTGTTTTTGTTTTTGAGACAAGGATTCTTTCTCTTTGTAGTCCAGGCTGTCCTGGAACTAGCTCTGTAGACCAGGCTGTCCTCAATGTTGAGGATCCACCTGCCTCTGCCTCCGGAGTGCTGGGATTAAAGGCTTATTTCCAGCATCCTTATTTCTTACAGTGTGTACCAAGCTTAGAAAGAGGTTCTGTACCTACAGGGTTTATTCAGTGCTCTCACTTTCATGCCACTCCCCAGGCATGGCCAGGTTGAGTGGAAACTTGATAAGATTAGAGAAGTAGATTAGAATGACAAACATCTTGGGACTACTGCCTGAATCAGGAAGTTCTGCCTGAGTGAGCCCAGTTTACCAACCTAGACTTCCTCACAGATGAGTAAGGTGGGCACACACTGATCCTCAGGATTGGTTTGTTTGTTTAGGTGGGATCTTCCTGTAGAGCCCTACCTGGCCTGCAATTTATTGTGTAGAACAGCTGAAATTTAGGGCCAACCTTCCTTTTTGTTGTTACTGTTGCTGTTGTTTTGATTTGATTTGTTTTGAGACATAGAGTCTGATTATGTAGTCCAAGCTGGCCTAGGACACCTCCTGCATCTGCCTCCTGAGTGCTGGGGTTTCAGGCCTGTTACACTGTGCTCAGCTGACCTTCGGTGCTTTTGGATTTGGGTCTAGGGCTCCTTATCACCTAGGGGAGGGGGAGGGAGGGAGAGAGAGAGAGAGAAGGAGAATACATATGAATTCTGATGGATTTAGTCACAGCCTTTGGAGATACCACAATTGCATAAATGTGTCCCAGATGCTATTAGAAGCGTTGGGTATGGGACACCCAGGCTGGCCTCAAACTCATGGCAACCTTTCTGCCTCAGCTTCCCAAATGCTGGAATTATATATAGTCCTGACCCACCTCACATGGCTTTGTGGAGCTAGTTTTGGTTTAGTTTTTGGTACACTCTCATATTCTTTTTTTTTTTTTCCTTTGGTTTTTCGAGACAGGGTTTCTCTGAGGCTTTGGAGGCTGTCCTGGAACTAGCTCTTATAGACCAGGCTGGTCTCGAACTCACAGAGATCCACCTGCCTCTGCCTCCCGAGTGCTGGGATTAAAGGCGTGCACCACCAACTGCCTGGCTCACTCTCATATTCTAAGAGTAACCAAAAGCCGGGCATTGGTGGCACACCCCTTTAATCCCAGCACTTGGGAGGCAGAGGCAGGCGGATCTCTGTGAGTTCGAGGCCAGCCTGGTCTATAAGAGCTAGTTCCAGGACAGCCTCCAAAGGTACACAGAGAAACCCTGTCTTGAAAAAAAACAAAACAACAACAAAAAGAAAAGAAGAATATTCCAAAATGATTTCTCTTTATTTGTCAAAACTTTACTTGATTGTTCATGCTCTACTATTTCTTTGGTTGTTGCTATCCTCTGGTATATAGAGTCACATGTGTCTATATTGCTGTCTGAGCCACTTTGATTTTTTTCAGTTTTCTGTTCAGCTTTTTAGAGACAGTTGAAAGGTACGTGTGTGTGTGTGTGTGTGTGTGTGTGTGTGTGTGTGTGTTACTTAAGATTTATTGGTTTGTGTGGTTGTGTCTGTGTGTGTGTCTGTGTGGGTGTGTGTGCATGTGGGTACCCATGGAACCCCATAGAGCTGGATCTTCTTAGAGCTGAGAGTTACAGACACTGTGAACTGCCTGATATGGGTACTAGGAACTGAGCACAAGACCTCTGCAAGAGCAGCATGTGCTCCTAACCACTGAGCCAGCTCTCCAGTTCCATGTCTGTTGTCTATTATTCTCTATATGTCTGTATCTCTATATATCTATATGGTTCTCATATCTTTTTTGTCTGTTTCTCTTGCTTTCTCATTCCAGGCTGATTCTCTAGCTATGGCAGCTTCAGATATTCTAGATGTTTACTATCATACATTTTGTAGGCTCCTGACAAGTATACTGCTTTTAAATCCTAGGTCTTCCTCATCCTCAATAAGTCTAGAGTGGGTGGCCTGGCAGGCATACCTACCCTCAGTCAATTTCAAAAACATCTGCCTGGGAAGCAGACTGCCCTAGGAACATTGTTGTTTAGTTCTTTTTCTATTCAGAGTAAAAAGAAAGCTTTTTCCTTTGCAAGGCAAGTTTTCTTTAGAAAACTCAGTGTCTGTCCTGGCTTACCTAGAGATCTGGATTTTAAAATATGGACACGTAGGCAAGAGGCAGCTCGCTAAGTCACAAGGTCTCTCTGTCTGTGAGTATGAGAGGATAACTATGATTTTTCTTCATACAATTGATTGGCTTTGTTTCTAACGGACTCACTTAGGTAATATCACGCAAATTGCCATCTCAGAGGAGAGCATGGAAGAGGCTGGGCTAGAGTGGAACTCAGCTCTCACTGCTGCTGTCACCATGGCCACAGAGGAAGGCATAAAAAAAGACTCTGAAGAAATCTCAGGTACTTTCCTGTGTAGCCCATGTCTTCCTGTGTAACCCATGTCCTCCTCATGTAACTCATGTCTTCCTGTGTAGCTCATGTCCTCCTCCTCGTGTAGCCCGTGTCATGTCCTCTTGTGTAGCCCATGTCCTCCTGTAGTTTAAGAACAAAGCAGACCTCTTCGTTACTTCTGCTGGTCTTCCTCATAAACATGAGTACTAACTATAGCTGGGATAATCTCCTTTTAGTCATCCTGCAATCATCCTTCAAAATCACATTTTACACGTGGAGGGATTGAGATTTAAGGTGGTTCAAGACCAGCCGTACATTCCTGTCAGAGCTGAGCTGTTTGACTCTGTTGTTCATGCTTTTCTTATTATCAGCCATCTCCATCTCTGGTACATTTCTTGAGTAAATCAAACTTGGAGATATTAGAAGGAAGAATTAGGTAGCAGGTGGCTTAAAGTAGAGTGACTGTTAATTCCCTTAGAAGGGACCAGGAAACGCTTCTTCTCTTTCTCCCTCTAATCATTCATTTAATAAATATTTGTTGCTGCTTGACACTGTTGCTATTTGCTGGATACATACATGAAGAGATTTAGCCACCACCCTAGGGAAACTTACAGTCCCTCCTACCCAGCTGCTTGGTTTAGTGTAGAATTGGAGGAAATATCTTTAATTAATATTTAGCTTAATATCTTTATTAGCTAGCCTTTATAAAATTAAGTCTTATCTAATTGAAAGCAAAATTAAAATTGAATTTAATCAAGTAATACTTAGTCTTAAATATTGAATGCCTGTGTAATATTTAACTGAATATTTATTGGAGTGGGATGTCTGTTTTTATAGCCAGAATCATAACAAATCAAGGGCATGACAAATTGAAGCAATTATCTCAAGCCCCTAGTGATTGAAGGGGCTAATAATTAGGTACCAACACATGGAGGCAGCTAGTCTTTCATGTTTTAGTACAGATTCCTTTTGACTTGAAATTAACAGTATAGACATGTGCTGAGGTATCTGGGTAATGCCTCTGTTTACCTTCTGTCTTCTCCCTCCTGTGCCAGAGGACACTTTGATGTTCTGGAAAGGAATAGCTGATGTAGGGTTGATGGATGAGGTCATCTGTAATATACAGAAGGAGATAGAAGAGCTTCTCAGGGGCGTTCAGCAGCGGCTCATCCAGGCTCCCTTCCAGGTCACAGGTAAGTGCACTGAGCCTGGTGATGGCCTTTGTTCTTGAATATTCACAACTGTACTCAGGTTACTGTTAGCCTCACCACTCTGAGGGAAAGGAATCATTATCTTCATTTTACAGATAAGAAAAGTAAAGCTTGTAAAAGTTAAGTCCTTGTTTTTCATGGTTCATGACTGTGTTTTGTTCATTTATGTGGTCCTAGGGATTTAACTTGGCCTCAGCATACTAGGCAAGCACTTTTCTACTGATATATATATCCAGCCTTATTTTATTTTATTCATTAACCGGGTTTTAAACTTTGGTTTGGTCATACCTTGTTGTTTTAAAGATTTTACTCTTATTTTTTAAATTTGTTTTAAAAGTTTCTATTACTGTGATAAAAACAACATAGCAAAAGCAGCTTGGGTGTGTGTGGGAGACTTGACTTCATTATGTGCTTTCAGGTCGCACTGGAGGGAAGGCAGGACAGGAGCTCAGACAGGGCAGGAGCGCAGAAGCCATGGAGGGAGCTGCTTACTGCCTTGCTCCCCATGGCTTGCTCAGTCTGCTTTCTTATAGCACCCAGGACCACCTGCCCAGGGGTGACACTGCCCACAGAAAGCTGGACTCTGTCACATCAGTTGTCAATCAAGAAAATGTTTCATAGACTGGAGAGAAAGCTCAGAGGTTAAGAGCACTGGCTGCTTTTCCAGAGGTCCTGAGTCCAATTCCCAGTACCCTCATGGCGGCTCACAACTGTCTGTAACTCCTGTTCCAGGGAATCTGACACCCTCACTGATGTGCATGTGGGCAAAACACCAATGTACATAAAATAAAAATTTAAAGAAAGAAAGAACAAAAGAGGGGGCTGGAGAGATGGCTCAGAGGTTAAGAGCACTGACTGCTCTTCCAGAGGTCCTGAGTTCAATTCCCAGCAACCACAGGGTGGCTCACAACCATCCTTAATGAGATCTGGTGCCCTCTTCTGGCCTGCAGGGACACATACAGACAGAACACTGTATACATAATAAATACATAAATCTAAAAAAAAAAAAAAAGAAAAGAAAAAACAAAAGAAAGAAAACGCTTCATACTAGGCCATGGTGGTGGCACACGCCTTTAACCACAGCATCCTGGAGGTACAGGCAGGCAAATCTTTGAGTTCTTGGCCAGCCAAGGCTACACAGAGAAACCCTGTCTTGAAAAACAGGCTTGCCCAGAGTCCACTCTGATTGTGGTTTTCTCTTCCAAAATGAATCTATGAATCTAGCTTGTGTTGGTTTGTGTGTGTGTGTGAGTGTGAGTGCCAGAGCCCGCGAGCACATGAATGCAAGTGCCCATGGAAGGCAGAGGAATCAGCTCCCCTGGAGCTGGCAGTGTGCACCACCACTTGACATGGTGCTGGGAACTTAACTCAGGCCTTCTGGAATAACAGTATGTGTTCTTTGTTCTGGTTTGGTTTTTGCCTGTGCCACAAACACCTGGCTGTTTGTTTGTTTTTTAAGATAGGGTTTCTCATTGTAATTTTGGAGCCTGTCTTGGAACTCACTCTGTAGAGCAGGCTGGCCTGGAACTCACAGAGATCTGATTGTCTCTGCCTCCCCAGGCCTCACAGCTTGTATGTTCACTGAATTCTTACACTTGTTAGTTCACTTGTTAGTTATTTCTTTTTCATTCTAGATTTGTTTTTGTTTGTTTTGTGGCTTTTTTTTTTTTTTTTTTTTTTTTTTTTTTTTTGGTTTTTTTTTTTTTTTTTTTTTGAGACAGGTTTTCTCTGTGTAGCTTTGGCCCCTGTCTTGGCACTCAGTCTATAAACTAGGCTGGCCTTGAACTCAGAGATCTGCCTGCTTCTGCCTCCCAAGTGTTAGGGTTAAAGTTGTAAACCACCATACCCAGCTTCAATATGTATTTTTTTGTGACAGAGTCCCATGTATTCCAACTACTCTCAAACTTTATATAGCTAAGGTTGACCTTAGTTTCTCATCCTCCTGTCTCCCCCTACTGAGTGCTGTCTCTAGAGGTCTGAACCACAAAATCCAGTTTTGCTTACATTTATTTGTTTGTTTATCACACAATATTTATTTTTTGGGGAGGCGAAGTACCAATGCCATAGTACGTACACTGAGGCCAGAGGACAACTTGCCATTTCCCTTCTATCATGTGGGTCCCGGGAATCAAACTCAGATCATTGGACTTGGCAGCAAGTACCGTTACCTGCTGAACCATCTCACTGGCCCTATTTATTTATTGTGTGGGCCCTGCAGATGAAACCAAGGGCTTTGCATATGCCAAGGAAGTCCTCTATCACAGAGCAAACTTCCACCATGTTTTAAATCAATGTGTGTGGAATGAAACACAAGCAATTAATACAGAAAGCCAAGATGGTTGTTTTCATAGTAGTTAAGAAAGGCCTTGTGGGCCTGGTGGTGGTGGGGCACGCCTGTATTCCCAGCACTTGGGAGTCAGAGGCAGCTGGATCTCAGTGAGTTCGAGGCTAGCCTGGTCTACAAAGCAATTTCCAGGATAGCGAGGACTGTTACACGGAGAGTATAAAAAAAAAAAAAAAAAAAAAAAAAAAAAAAAAAAAAAAAAAAGAAAAAAGAAAGAAAAAGAAGAGGAGGAGGAGGAAAGAAAAGAAAAAGAAAGGCCTTGTGGGTGGTGAGCTTTGAGCAGAAATCTGAATTTTAGAAGTTAGGCATATATTGAGCTGGGAGAGAGAAACTTACAGGCAGAGAGAACAAAGATCTTTGAGTTGCTGTTCCTGGTGAATACCAAAAATTATAGGAAGCTAGGTAGGGGTGTGTGCCTTTAATCCCAACACTGAGGAGGCAGAGGCAGGAGGATCTCTGTGAGTTTGAGACCAGCCTGGTCTACAAAATGAGTTCTAGGACAGCCAAGGCTGTTACACAGAGAAACCCTGTCTCAAGACAACAACAACCACAAAAAAAATTATAGAAAAACCCAGAGTAACTGTTGCAATGGATAAGGTAGCGGTGAGGCTGAGGGTACAGATAGGTAGGGGTGTTGTTATTGTTTTTGTTTGAGTTACCTGGCCTCTTGGTTTATTTGGAGATGGAGTCTCATTGTGTTGCCCAGGCTGATCTTGTTCACCTAGGCTCAAAGTATCCTGCTTCAACCTCCAGAAGGGTCATAAGGGGCGGGGGTTGAGGGGGCATGGGCTAGAGCCCTCGCTACCACACCCAGCTTTTATCATCCTATTTTCTAAACCATTGGTCAGAATTTATAAACACATACAAGGTTTGGAGTTTTGTTTTGTTTTTTTTTCTTTTGTTGTTGTTCTTTTGTGGGGTTTTGTTTGTTTTGAGATAGGGTTTTACTATGTAGCTATCAATGTCCTGGAACTTGTTATGTTGACCTGGCTGGCCTTGAACTCACAGAGATCTGCCTGTACCTTCCATTCAAGTGTTAAGATTAAAGGCATGCACCACTATCCCTGGATTGTTTTGTTTCTTTGTTTTTTTTGTTTTTTTTTTTTTGTATTTTTTTTTTCCAAACAGGGTTTCTCTGTGTAGCTTTGTAGACCAGGTGTACATCACCATTGCTTGGCTAGCAAGTTTTTTTTCTTCTTCTTTGAGACAGTGTTTCTCTGTAAGTTTGGAAACTGTCCTGGAACTCTCTTTGAAGACTAGGCTGGCCTCAAACTCACAGAGATCCGTCTCCCTAGCCCTGAGATTAAAGGTGTGAGCCACTAGTGCCTGGCTGGCTAACAAGTATTTTAACCCAGATTTATCATATATATTTAATTTTGGTTTTATAACATATTTGAAGATCTTCCTACATAAAAAGTCATACAGAGTGTGACACTGGTAGGGTGCTTGCTTGCTTAGCATGCTGGTCCTCTCCCTACCATTACAAAGACAAAAGGCAAAACTACATAAATAGGGCTGGAGAGATGGTTCAGAGGTTAAGTACACTGGTTGCTCTTCTGGAGGTCCTGAGTTCAATTCCCAGCAACCACATAACTCACAACCATCTGTAATGAGATCTGGTGCCCTCTTCTGGCATGCAGGCATACATGGAGGCAGGATATTCTATGCATAATTAATAATTAATAAATAAAATCTTAAAAAGAAATAATGCTGATGCCCCACATTTAAAAAAAATAAATAGGTAAAATAAATAATCTTAAAAAACAAAGAAACAGCTGAATAGTGGTGGCACATGCCTTTAATCCCAGCATTTGGGAGGCAGAGGCAGGTGGATCTTTGTGAGACTAGTCTGGTCTATAAAATTGAGTCCCGGGACAGCCAGAGCTGTTACACAAAAAAAACGTATGTCGAAAAACCAACCAACCAAATAAATAAATTGCCTGTAATGGTGATGAGCACTCGTCATCCTAGAACTAAAGATGGGAAAGTAGGAGTTCAGGGTTAACCTTGGCAAGTTTGAAGCCAGCCTGGGCAACAAGATCCTTTCTCAAAACCACCACCACAGCAATTTTTTGAAATGTATTTAAGAGAGTTCCATAATTTCTTTGTTCTTTTCCTTGTTAGGGATGAGGGGAGGTGTGATCAAATCAGAGGCTCATACAGCTTAGACTGGCCTAGAACTCACTCTGTAGCTTAGGCTACCCTTGAGTGCTTGTATTGTCTCTGTCTCCCAAGAGCTGGGATTACAAGCATGCGCCACCACTGTGAGCTGCTTGGTTCTTTCAGATCTATAACTGGTACAGCAGGGCGCTGTTTGCACTCCACACACAGGCCTATGCTTTGTTTCCAATAGATGCTGCTGTTCTAAACAATGTGGCCCAGACATTTGGCCTCATGGACACGGTCAAGAGAGTTTTGGACAACAGACGGAAGCAAGTGGAGCAGGGAGAAGGCCAGTATCTCTACACCCTGGCAGGTATGTGGACTGACCTCTTTCCCAGACATGTACTTATCTCCAGTGCTTTTTGGAGGGTTGATGTGTCACTCAGATATTCTAATAGTCCAGGAATGTCGGTGGCAGGAGACATGAATCAGCTTTGCTTTTTCTACATTATTGATAAGGTTGTTTTTGCTAACTTTGGACTTTGTACATTTTCCACTGTTGTCATAAATTGTGACTGGGGAGATGGCTGGCCGAGTTGGTAAAGTATTGGCCCTATATACATGAGGTCTTCATGTTTGGATTCTCACTACACACATGAAGAATCCAGGCCCAGGGCATGCATCTGCAGTCCCAGCACTGGGAAAGAGGAGACAGACAGGTGCTTGGAGCTCATTGGCCAGCCAGCCTAGCCAAATTGAAGAGCTCCAGGTTCATTGAATACCTGTCTCAAACAGAAGGTAGAATATGATCAAGGAAAACATCAGTATTGATCTCTGGTCTCCACACATGGGCACACCGCTATACACACATCTCCACACTATAAATACAATAAATACATAAACTAAGCAGTCAGAAACAGTGAGTACCTACGTCACTTAACTCAGTTACTTTGTTCATTTTAAAATAAGGTTTTAGAAATATATGGAATAAAATAGTCTCTGTCTCTTCAGGGTCTTTAAGGAACTTAAGGAAAAACAGATAAGGAAACAAATAAGCACAAGAAAGTACTCAGTTTTAGCCGGGCAATGGTGGCGTAAGCCTTTAATTCCAGCACTCGGGAGGCAGTGGCAAGTGGATCTCTGTGAGTTCAAGGCCAGTCTGATCTACAGAGCAAGTTCCAGGATAGTCAGGGCTACACAGAGAAATCCTGTCTCTAAAAACCAAAAAGCAAAAAGACAAAACAAAAGTTTCAAATAGAGCGGCAGCTGAGATCAAAAGTATGCATGCACCACCACTACCCAGCTGCTTTAAATATTCTTTTTTTTGGGAGGGGGGAGTTTGGAGACGGGGTTTCTCTGTAGCTTTGGAGGCTGTCCTGGAACTAGCTCTTGTAGACCAGGCTGGTCTCGAACTCACAGAGATCCACCTGCTTCTGCCTCCTGAGTGCTGGGATTAAAGGCGGTATAGCTCAGTGTTAAAGTGTGTCCTTAGTATGCTCATGGCCCTGGGTATAAATCACATACTTATTAAAAAGAAAAAGACCACGGGAGGCTTCGTTTGGCAAGAGGTAAAATATTTGCAGAGGAGTATATGGGATTGAGTAAAGTAAGATCATGGTTTTAAAGGACTCTGAACTGTTGCCCTGCCCATAATCACACCATTAAGTGCAATTACCGAAGGATTTAAAAAAATGATCTCTACAAGTCATTTGGGTAACAATGGTGTGACTTGCCTGAAGCTATACCCTCTGTCTCCTGATCCCCTGGTTAATGTTCCCAAGTTGGCATTACTTTCCACAAAATACAGCTGTTTGGATATTTTCTTTTGTTTTTTTCCCCCATAGACTTGGAACGGCAGTTGGAAGAGCAAAAAAAGCAAGCCCAAGATCCTAGACTGAAACCCCAGACGGTTCAAAATGTGGTACTAATGCCTGTGAGCACCCCAAAGCCTCCAAAAAGACCCCGGCTCCAGCGGCCAGCCTCCACCACTGTCCTGAGCCCCTCTCCTGTCCAGCAGCCGCAGTTTACTGTCATCTCACCCATCACTATCACCCCCGTCGGTCAGTCATTCTCTATGGGCAATGTTCCAGTGGCTACCCTCAGCCAGGGCTCCAGTCCTGTGACTGTCCACACACTGCCTTCTGGCCCTCAGCTCTTCCGATATGCCACAGTGGTTTCCTCTGCCAAGAGCAGCTCGCCAGACACAGTGACCATCCACCCTTCGTCAAGCTTGGCACTGCTGAGCTCCACCACTATGCAGGATGGTAGTACCCTGGGCAACATGGCCACCATGGTGAGCCCTGTGGAGCTGGTGGCCATGGAGTCTGGCCTGACTTCAGCAATCCAGGCTGTCGAAAGCACCTCGGAGGATGGTCAGACCATCATTGAAATTGACCCAGCTCCAGACCCTGAGGCCGAAGACACTGAGGGCAAAGCAGTCATCTTGGAGACAGAGCTGAGGACTGAGGAGAAAGTGGTGGCCGAGATGGAAGAACACCAGCATCAGGTCCACAATGTGGAGATTGTGGTTTTGGAGGACTAACTAGGGATGGGGCCAAGAGCTATGTTTTGGTTTGGAATTTTAATTATGTTTATTTTTATCATTGTCCCACTCATTTCCACATAGAACCTTTTTTTAAAAAAAAAAACAAACTACAAAATCTCGTTGTAACTGACAATGTTGGGTTCCTCCTACCCCCTCACTGACAGACAAATGGACAGAACAAGCTACCTTTCCTGAAGTTAGGAACAGGTCATCCAGTGTCCTAATCATCTTACCCCAAGGAAGGTATTGCTTTTAGGGGAGGCGTCAAAATAACCAGGAACCCTTTCCAGAATAGTCTGTCTGTGTACACATGCATGGTCTCACTCTTGTAAAGATGCATTGACCAAACTCTGGAACACAGACCTGACACCGGAAGACGACTGCTCCCACATGGATATAGAAGGGTGCTTGCCTCTGTATCCTGGATGTGGCCTCAGAGGCCAGTGCAAAACTCGGAAGCAAAAGGAAGTTGAACTCTGCTTAGAGTGGAAAGTAGCATGCCATCATCAGCTTAAAAGGGGAAGTCCTTTAACAAGGAGAGGGCAAGGAGGGATCTTCCAAAGGAGCATCTGGTGCCCCTCGAGCTCTTTGAGGGTTGGGTTCCATTTTGAGAAGAGTGACATGCAGAAGGGCACACAGAAATCAAGGGGTTGTCAAAACTGTGCTTTAGGGACAGCTCACCTTGCCCCCAGCCTTGTCAAAGCGCTCACCCTCCTTACAGAATTGTCAGTCGGTTCCTGTGCAGACTGATGTGGTGCACATTGCTCTAGTTCTTGGACTGTGGCTGTCATGGGGTGGGGCTCCAAGGCCATCATTTTTGTTTCTTGACTCCAGGAATGGCAGAGTTCCTCATGCAGACCAGCTGTTATTTTGGGGAGCCCTGCATTGCAAGTGTGGGGTGTGTGTGTGTGTGTGTGTGTGTGTGTGTGTGTGTGTACATGTTTTGGCTTTGGAACCAAACACAGTCACTCACTTGGTGCTTCCCCTTCTCTTCATCCTTCAGTCTCCTGGATCCCACGCTCTGCAGCGTTTTGGCTGATTTGGAGAACAGTGACAGGTGCCTGCCTGCCTCCATTCCCTTTGAGAGTCACTTCTTCCGTTTATGCCACAGATGCTTCTGGGAGATACTGAGCTCATAAAAAGACTTAGGCTTGGCAGGGAAGACTGGAAACACCCCCAGCCTTCCCTGAGGCATGGACTAGATGTCTCCTGAGTGAGCTGGACTCCCTGGGAAAGAAACATTGTCTGTGACAATTAAGTCTGGGAGTGGGGGCTTCTTGCTAAATGTTGTTTGTATATTTAGACCTGGGTCACGTTCCGTGCTGAGATCCCTTCTCTTTGACTCTCTTCAGTGTTGGGGAAGAGTGGACAATTTGATTTCTTTAATTATCAGTTCCTGATTTCTTTAATTATATTGTTTACTGTAATAGGGAAAATATAGATACTCTACAGATGACTTAAAGAATAGGCCAGAAAAGCACACAGCTTAGGAGTTGGAACATTTATTATTATTATTAAAAGTAAAATTTTGACCTTAGTTTCTTAAAAAAAAAAAAAAAATAGAGGATGCCTACCTTAACCTGTCTTCCTACCTGTGGGTTTTGGAAGCTGTAAAGCAACTAACTGTTCTCCCATCTCTTAGATGGCCATATATAGCCAGAGAAGGCTTCAGGTCACTCTGGAGACCCTAAGAGTGGGATTTCTGAACTCAATTCAGATGTGTTTCAGATTTAAAACTTGTCTTTTCAGAATATTTAGTTGGGCTGGGACAGAACTTAGTTGGTAAAGTTCTTGCCTAGCATTCATGAAACCCTGGCTTGAGTCTCTGCCATGAAATAAACTGGGCGTGTGGGCACATGCCTTTGATCCTTGGGAAGTAGAAACAGGAGACTCAGAAATTCAAGGTCATTCTCAGCTCTGTAGCAAGTTCAAGACTAACCTGGGATACATAAAATGCTGTCTCAAAAAAAAAAAAATGTGTTTCGAACAAGCTTTTGGTCCTTTATGCATTTTTAGTGAAGGAACTGGAATTTCTGGCTTCCTTAGATTTTCTGTTAATTCATAAGAATTTTTATTATATGTATTTATGTGTGTGCGTGTGTGCGTGTGTGCGTGTGTGTGTGTGTGTGTGTGTGTGTGTGTGGTGTGTGTCTGTGTGTGTGTGTGTGTGTGTGTGTGTGGTGGAGAGCTTGCTATAGTGTGTGTGTGGAGGTCAGAGAACAAGTTGCAGGAGTCAGTTCTCTCCTTCCACCATGTGGGTCCTGGGAATTGAACTCAGGTTGCCAGGCTTGGTGGCAAGCACCATCATCCACTGAGCCCTCTTGCCAGCCCTAAAAGTTTCAGGGTAAGTCTGAAACTATTACTTGAACCTAGAAAGCCACATCTCATTCCTGTTGTACTCTTTAGGTCATTTCTCTTTTCCAGAGATGAAAGAACCAATTCGGGACACGGGAGGAGCCCTAGAGAATAGAGACAGTCTTGTTCAGGTCCTTTCTTTTGCCCATCACAGCTGTTGTAGCATAAAAGGTCGTGTGAGCATCATGCTTCCAAAGTCAGGTGTCCTCTGGAGACAGCCTGTTTACTTTAAACATTCTGGCAGGTGGATTACATGAGTTTTGTTGTTTTCTGGTCTTCCAATTGCTGTCATTGCTAGCTGCTGTGGTACTGTGAGATCTCTCACAGCCCTGGTCTAGATGATTTCAGATGGGGTGAGACACTTGCAAGTTACTGATGTGTGAATAAGCAATTGCAATGAAATTACTCCTCAGGCTGACTTGATGGTAGCTATCTTTTCTCTAGCCATTCATTAAATAAACATTTGTAAGTACTATCTATATATGTACTGCACACTAACCTATTGCGCCACTGAAGTCCCAGTAAGTACCATGAAGATGCAGGTTTTGTGCTAGACACTGACCTTATAGACAATCCCTGTCCTCAAGGAGTTCACACTCGGCTTCTTCTGCAGTTAACCGCACTTCTACATCTTTTGTTTCTTTTGTAATCCTGTTTTGTCTTAAGCATTGAGAAGCATTCTGAGACTTTAGTTCCTAGGTTTCTGTAGGCTGGCAAAGTCACATAGGTAAAGCCACCTCTAGAGAGATACTCTATCAAATCATCATGTTGGCGTGAGTGTAGCTATGGACTGTTGGCCTGGAGTTAAAGACAACTGAGCAAGTACCTGACTCATCTTGGAGTATGAATGGGGTTCAGCAAATCTGAGGCAGTCTCTTAGCGAAGGTGTGTGCACAAGCCTCTGTTCAAATGCTTGGGCTATGCATCCAAGAGTCAAATTCTCTAGTCTTGCTTGCTTGCTGCTTCTGCTGGAAGACCCAGGCCCCCAGTCACGGACAGTGTCTACCGGAAGCACCCACTGGAGACTGGGGTCACACCTGAGCTGGTAATCATCAGATGGGACCTGGGGCTGATGTACGGCATGGCTGGGGTTTCCCTGGTAGAGGTGAATTTCTAAACTTTCCCGCCAAGTGTGTCTCACAAAGGCCTTACTGTGTGCTCGTCTAGCCTGTGTTCTTGCTTGGCTCTTGCCCTATTCTTGTCCCCTTCTTTTTTTTTTTTTTTTTCTCTCTCTCTCTGTCTCTGTCTTTCATTTTGGACAGTGTTCTCTGTATAGCCCTAGCTGACCTAGAATTTGCTCTGTAGACCAGGCTGGTCTTGAACTCAGAGATCCACCTGCTTCAGCTTCCCAAATGCTGGGATTAAAGCATGTGCCACCACACCTGGCCTTTGTTACTCCTCCATTTCCAGGCTTCCCAGCACTGGGGGCAGAGGCAGGAGGATAGTCTTAAGATCTTGCCTCACAGACAAAAATTTAGGTTCCCACACCCAAAATAAAGCCACTCTGCATGTACTTTCCTCGACCTCAGCCATAGTAAGAGGGGGAACCCGTATTAATGAAAATATCTTGGAAATTGGGTCTGGAAAGATGGCTCAGAGGTTAAGAAAATATCTTGGAAATTAATATATAGGTGATGGGGGGGGGGCGTGTGTTGAGACAGAGTTTCTCTGTGTAGCTTTGGAGCCTGTCCTGGAACTCACTCTGTAGACCAGGCTGGCCTTGATCTGCCTGCCTCTGCCTCCTGAGTGCTGGGATTAAAAGCCAACCACCTCCCAGCTAAATGTTTTTCTTGAAAGTGGATATATGCACACATGCATACCTGATGTCCAAGGTCAGAAGAGGGTTTCAGACCCCCTGAACTAGAGTTAGAGGTGGTTGTCAGGCACCATGTGGGTGCTGGAAATCCAACCCACGTTCTCTGGAAGAGCAAATGTTCTTAACCACTGAGCCATCTCTTCGGCTGAAATGTAGCAAAATTCTGTCATGAAATACTGAGTCAGAACTGATCCGGTATGGAGTGCCATCTAGGAGGTGGACTCCACCCCCCAAAAAGGGTTGAATTCTGAAAATAGGAATGAATGCTTTTGGTCAGTACTTACTGAGGATAAAGTCAGTGAGAGGAAGACAGACTTGGGTTAGTCCCTGCACTTCCAGAAGACTTCCTAGTACAGGTGATCACTTCGAGGCAAGGCAGATCTGTTGAGGAAAGTTTCTGTCCCACCTGGTCCTGCCACCTTTTAGTTCCAAATAAATACACAGAGGCTTATATTAATTATAAACTGTTTGATCAATGGCTCAGGCATCCTATTGGCTAGCTCTCTCAATTATTAGCCAATTTCTATTAAATCTATGTATCTCCACATGGTCTTGGCTTACTGGAGAATTCCTGGCATCCTATCTCCCCTGGGAGCTACATGGCATCTCCCTCTCCCTCTCCCTCTCCCCAGCATTCTCCTAGTCTGGTAGCCCCACCTATACTTCCTTCCTGTCTAATGGCCAATTGGAATTTATTCATCAACCAGTAAGAGAAGCATTCACAGCATTCAAGAGAACACCCCCCATCACAGGTCCCTTCCACTTAGTGCAGGTGATGATCCTTTGGAGGGTCCAGGCAGATCCCTGGGAAATCCTCCTGCAGAGGTAGGGGAGTGCTTCAACAGCCCTTGCCTGGCAAGCACGAGGCCCTGAGTTGAGAATTCTAGTACAGTCTGTAATGTGCAAAGAATGAAGAGCTAAGGTAGGCCAGGTGTGGTGCGACCTGCCTGAAACCCAACTCTTCAAACAGGCCAGAAGAGCTTGAGTTCAAAAGCATTCTGGCTTCTACAGGGAACTCCTGTTTCAAGCAAGCAACCATGAGCCAAGATTGTCAGTCACCCCACAGGGTTCTTTCTACCACATCTTCCTCTGCAGTGTCTGTTCTCGTTCTGAGTTCGTTCCACGTGTCCTTCCTTCTCAGTCCTGAAGCTTGAGTTACCAGAGTTTGAAGATTTACTTTAACAACACCCAACCCACGCTTGTATGTCATCCTTCTTCTGCTGCTCGGATTTTAGGAGCCAGAGTTTGGCTTCCCTGGAACTCGCTCTGTAGACCGGGCTGCCCTCTAACTCACAGAGCTCTGCCTACCTCTGCCTCCCGAGGGCTGGGATTAAAGTTGTTGCCACCACGACACAGCATGCTCAACCTCTGAGCCATCTCACCAGCCCCTCATTAGTTTATCTTTAAGACTGACTCATCTATACATTTTATGTATATAGGTGTTTTCTCTGCATAAACATCTGATGGTGGGGACTGGGAATTGAACTCAGAACCTATGCAAGAGCATCCAGTGCTCTTAACAGATGATGTGTGCGTGTGTTAATGTGAGCGTGTGTGTGTGTGTGTGTGCGTGCGCGCGCGCGTGCGCGCGCGCGTGCGCGCGCGCGTGCGTGTTTAAGGGTTATTTTTATGTATACAGTGCTCTGCCTGCATTGCTGGGAGAGGACACCAGATCTCGTAACGGATGGCTGTGAGCCACATGTGGTTGCTGGGAATTGAACTCAGGACCTCTGGAAGAGCAGACAGTGCTCTTAACTCTGAGCCATCTCTCCAGCCCCTTCTTTATATGTATTTTTAAATAATTATTTTTTATTTTATGTGTATGACTGTTTTGCCTGCATGTATGTATACCCACTTTGTAAGTGCCCGTGCCCTCAAAGGCTAAAGCAGGGCACCTGATCCCCTGGAACTGGAGTTGAAGACTGTTGTAAGCTGCAGTGTGGGTGCCTGGGTCATTTTTTTTTTTTTTTTTTTTTTTTTTTTTTTTCCGAGACAGGGTTTCTCTGTGTAGCTTTGGAGCCTATCCTGGTACTCGCTCTGGAGACCAGGCTGGCCTCGAACTCACAGAGATCCGCCTGCCCTGGGTCGTCTTATATTTAAACAAGTGCTCTTAACTGTAGGCCCAACTCTTCAACCCTACTTGTCCACCTTTAATTCTTTTTAAAAAACATTTTAAAAGATTTATATTATTTTATAGCTGGGCAAGATGGCCTATGCCTTTAATCCCAGGGCTCATGAGGCAGAAACAGATGATCTCTGAGTTTGAGGCCAGCCTGGTCTACAGAATAAGTTCCAGAATAGCCTGGGTTACACAGAGAAACCCTGTCTTGAAAAACAAACCAAAAAAAGAAAGATCTATTATTTTTGTGTGTGTGAATGTTTTGTCTGCATGTATGTATACTCTGTTTTGTCTGCATGTTATGTATACTCTTGCATGCCTAGAGCCATCATATAGGTAGTAAGAATTGAACCTAGGACCTCCGAAAGAGTAGCTATTGTTCTTAACCACTGAGCCATCTCTCCAGCTTGCATATTTGACATTTTGAAATGATCTTTTTTCCAAACTCAAGGCATTGCCAGGATGCCAACGTATAAATGCACATTCACACACTACTGCTTCATTGGCTACAAAAGCCAATTTAATGCCCATGGTCACTAAACTAAATACATTGTTATTATTATTATTATTGCTATTTGGCTTTGTGAGATAGGATTTCTCTGTGCACCCCCCACCGTGTGTGTGTGTGTGTGTGTGTGTGTGTGTGTGTGTATGTGTGTGCATGTGTGTGTGAGTGTGTGTATGTGTGTGTGAGTATGTGTGTGTGTGAGTATGTGTGTGTGTGAGTGTGTATGTGTGTATGTGTGTGAGAGTGGTGTGTGTGTATCTGTGTGTGTCTGTGTATGTGTGTGTGCTCGTGTGTATCTGTGTGTGTCTCTCTGTGTCTGTGTGTCTGTGTGTGTGTGTGTGTGTGTGTGTCTGTGTGTGTGTGCTCGTGTGTGTCTGTGTGTGTGTCTGTGTGTGCGTGTTCGCGTGTGCGTGCGCGTGTGCGTGTGCGTGTG